ATATCTGATTAAAGGAGAAATGCCAGCTCTTCTAAAATGGCATTTGTTTTTTTTTTTTTGTCCCATCAACTTGCAGTTTGGTTGATGTGGAAACTTTCCTACCAAAGAATGAATAGGTTTCATTCTGACAAAGAAAAGCATAAAACAATGTTAGTATAGATGATCAAAATTTAATTCCGAATAATTTCAAATATAAAAAAGAAAAAATGAGTGAAGGAAAAAAAAAAAACTTTTTATGGGGCAAATTATCAGATTTTGTTCAGGTTATTTTCTTTTAAAGTGATAAGTATGTAAATGAACGACAAATGTCGCTAAGACTGCCGTATCTGCCAAGTGTACTTTCACATGGGATTAAGCACCTAATCTTACCTGAATTACAAGTGGTTTCCAAGCAATCCTGTACCTTCCAATTCCATGGTGGGTAGGAAATCAGCCTTTTCTGTAAAACAAAATTTTATTCTGTAAAACATAATCTTTTTTTTTTTTTACTTTTCCTACCAATTCCTATCATTCTGTATCAGATGATTGACCATACTGATATCTGATCAAAAGGGTTTCCTTTCCTTTTGCCTGATTTTACCTTCCCTGAAAGTTTAACCCCTTTTAGTGTAGCTTTTTATCTATCTTCCAATCATTGTAGTAAAAACCTTGTGCCTTAAACTTGATCCCCTCCAAAAAGAAGAATAACTACATTCCAAAGTAACATAATGGGAAGTTTACTGGTCTTAAATTTGATTATAGTTCCTCTTACGTTAAGAAATGCACTTTTATTGACAGATGAGCTATTCTTTGATCTGTTTATTACTACGTGACTTTGCTTGTAAAATTCACACACTAATCATGAATCCTGCATAAACTATCCTATATTAATACCAAAAGAGATCTTAATCACAAATGCCATTCATCATTAGATTCCCCCATCCATAGATTTATTGGGCCACCACGAGCCATTAACTGAGTTTGAGTAATTGAGCTGAAAAGCTAGTGAAAAAATTGCAACTATGTTGGCACCAACTGAGCAGTGACACCTTTTCTTTTTGTAGGGGGTGGGGATTACGACTGGGGACATGATCAGTAAATCTCTTGAATATTGGGATTATTATTATTATTATTATTATTATTTTTATCTTTTGAGCTACAACTAAGCTTTAAACTCAAGACCTTCAGTCTTAGATTAAAACATAAAGGTTCGGACTTACTAAAAATATCTCGGGCCAAATAACTCTAACCTTGGGTTTGAAAGAAGTAATCAGAGTACAACTTAAGCAAAGTAGGCTTAAAAACTAAAAGTTCTAAGATGAGTTGACTGATCTTTGTGCATGTTAAAGCAAAACCTTTAAGTAAACCTTTTCTGTTTTGTTGAGAAAAGGTAGGAATTAAAGGCAGCATCCTCTAAATCCTTTTAAGGATAATTTTATTCAGGAAATGGCCACTAAGGTCTCACAGAAATCATCTGTTAACATTGTATTTCGAATGGGGTCTTCCATTTTCACGCCCATATATATTGACCTGAAAGAGAAAGAGGGGGGATCAAACACACCACTCATGACTATGGAGACTAATGAGTCATCCTCCTAGATTACATGTTAGTAAAAAGCTAAGCTACAAAATCTTCTTGGGATGAGTATTGTTTCCCAACCCTCTACCAAAAGATGAAAAAAAAAAAAGAGCAAGAATAAATTAGAGATGATCGAACTGATAAAAGGCAGCCTTAGAATCTAGCTACAGATGCAAATTTGAAAAAAAAAGAAAAAGAAAGTAGTAAAATAATTAATTAAAGATCACACAAAAATTGATAAGAAAATAAAGTGTCGGTCCTTGCCAATTAAATTAACCTTTATGAGTCACATCATTTTTTTTCTTTACATTTTGCACCATTACATAGCACTTACCTCATATGGGGAAGGAATGAATTGAGACTGAGATATATAGGGTGTAATGGGTTTATTCAATGAGAGATTAGAAAATAATCAAGTTTTTGAGAGAAAATGGAGGAGACATGTTCTCCTTTGTCTATTTGCACTCATTTTCTTTCACTATTATTTCCTATATGAGAAAATGACCTTATCATTTAAATCACTATTCTCAGCTTATTCATGCGTAAGCTTGCTAGTTGACTCTATTTCTATATATTAAAAAAAAAAAAAATCCTTGGCAGACATTAATTCATCATGGAAATCAATTCAATTACCCGACTAAAATCAATAGCAAAGGCATTTTCAATGGTTTAATTGGCATTAAATAGCAAAAGAAAAGATAACTAATGGTCAAATTTTTACATGATGATCTTGATAAGTTGATGTTTTGACCAAAAAACTTTTGGATGATAGCTACAAGACCTAATGAACAACAATTTTTTCTTTCTTTCTGTCAAATGTAAAAAACAACTTATTCATGGTCAATAATTATGTATGATCAATAATTGAGGAAATCAGAAATCTCTATATTACCAAAAAATAATGGATGAAATCAAGAGAATTTTTTTATCTCCCATTTTTAAAAATAAATATGGGGAATAAGAAATATGAGTAAAATGAGTAGTTATTCTAGGAAGTGGGTGGCTTTTTTTAAATGTATTTTTATAAAAAAAAAAAGTAAAAGACTTAAATACTCCTAATTTTATTTGGTTTGTAAGTAAAATTTTTAATTGAATTGGTATAACTTGATTCATGATATTAACTCAAGAATTTTATACTATAACCAGAATTTGGCCATACTCTATGTGGGTGTTTTGAATTAAAAAAATGTTTTTAAAGGGGAGAAAAAATTACATGAGTAATTAGTAAAATTAGTGTAAATAATTAATTTCGCTTGCAAATTTAGTTATTTACCAAATGCATGAGATTATAATTTTTTTTTAACATTTGAGATTATTAAGATTTGAACTCTATTCACTTAAACTAAAAATTCAATATTTTATCAATAATTCATGTGATTGTTGACTATGAAATCAGAATTAAATTTTCTTTATTTATCATATTAATCTAAAATGTGAATATATAAAAAAAATGAAAAATGGTAATAATTTTAAAATTAAAAAGAGCTTTTAACTTTTTTAAGTAATCAGTAGAATATAATATTATTATATTTGCCCAAAAAAAGAATACAATATTATTATTGTCCAAAAAAAAACTTTTTTGTTTCTATTTGGTTCTTATAATGTCATGCATAGAAAAACATATACAAAATGAATAAATTATGATCACGCCTATTAACATAGCCGCCCAAACTAAGGATGAAATGTCTTGAATTACTACAAATTGAATCTTTTAGCCTAAAGCAACAATGTTTAGTGATTATTTTTGATGATATTGATGACATAGGCATTCCTTTTTTATTTTTTTATTCTCCTTTTAACCTTACTCGTTTGTATTTTTGTTCTTGATGGTGAGTAAATTTTGGGTGACTCTCTTATTTAATGTCACAAATGGGAAAATAAATGAGCTTATAAAAGAAGGAAGAAAATGATTAGAAATCAATGGCAATAATCACTAAAGATCACCACTGCAAAACACATATCATGGGATTCAAAAAATTATGTTGAGTTGGTGTGGTGCAACAAGCTAAAAAACTAATGAACATGTCATGATTCTTAAATATATAGGCTTAATACCAAATAAAATTTCCATCTTTTAGTATATGAGATTAAAATTATAAAATTTTATTTATCATAATTATCCATTAAATCTTAAAAATTAATGATTGACTTTTGATTGATAATTTTAAAATAATATATGTTTTTTTGTATACTTGTCATCTAGCCCTTACAAATAAATTTAAGTAAATTTTTTTTACAAATTAAATCATCCAACTAAAGAAATTTATCAGAAAATTAAATATTTTATATGGTCAAAATTTTAATTACAATAAAATAAATTTTATAACTTTCAATTTCATGTAATAAAAAATTAAATACATATTTTCATTTTTAAGTAAAGTTCAAGAATTTATTTGAATGATAACCCATAATATAAACTGAAGAAAACTCTTTTAAAACATTCAATAAAAATTAAATCGTTCCATCCAAAGAAATCAAGACATTATCACTGCCCATACTCACCAATCATCGCTCTTGAATGCTACTAGATGATCATCGGATCGATATCGCAAAAATGAACTTTTTTGCTTCCATTAAAGTTATTTTAAAAAAAAAAACAAATTATATCCTAATCTAAATTCTCAAGATCTTGAAAACAAAATTATGTGAAAATTCAAATTCATGATATATATATATATAATATATGCAATCATTTTAAAAGAAAAATGACATTTACACTGTCTTTTTCCTATTGAATTTCATAATTTTTTTTACAAATAAAATTTTAGTATTTGTAATTTTTTAAATTTTGACTAAAAAAAAAAAAGAGGCATTGAAGGATTGAGGGGTTGAAGAAAAAGAGGGCAAAAGAAAAAAATTGGTATGAAAAGATAGTATGGGAAAATCCTATCTAGGGAAATCATTTTGTTGGCCATAAGTGACACTTGCTAGAAAGTGTACTCAATTACCCCCATTTTCATAAATTCATGCATATTCTCCCCTTAAAGCCCTCCCTCCCCTCTTTCTTCTTTCACACCAAAAAAGGACAAATTTCTCTCAAATAACTGTATTGACCAACTGCAAGACGCTAAAATGCGCCTCATGCGTAGACTAATAAAGGAGGTCCGACGATGCACAAGTTATAAAGTTACGTCGCGCCAGTTTCGTCCAAAATAGCTGCTGATTGATTAACCCAAAAAAAAAAAAAAAAAGGAAGCGAAGGGTCGGTTTTTTTTTTTTTTTTCGGTTACAAAAAAAAAAAGAAAAGGCGGTGGAAAGAAAAAATAAAAATAGCAGCGACTGTGGCAGAGAGATTTGAAATCGACTTTGTTGAAAGCTGCTTTTTCGAAGAGTCCGTTAAGCTTTGATCGATTCTTTTTTTCTTCTTCTTATTCTTTTTTTTTTTTTTTTAATCTTGTTGTTCAATTCTTTGTTGAATCTCACACTCAAATCAAAGTAATTTTCGTCGCTACTTTTTTTAAAAAAAAAAAAAAGAAAATTGATCTTCAACGAGTTTAACTATCCATGTCGTCGGATATAAGCTAGACCTTTTCTGCAAAATCGTCCTCGCTCTCTGTGGCTTTTCACTTTCTCTTCAACGATTCGAAAAGATTTTCATTCTTTGTAACCCAAAAAAAAGATGGCTAAATGCAGCAACTTTAACGGAGTTTATTGCGACGAGATTTTCATGATTGATCTCGCGAGTTTGTTTTTGTAATTGGCATCTGCGACGAAAACTTTTAAAAGATCGTTTCTTTTTTTTTCTTCTTTTTCTTGGCCGCAGAGAGAATGGGAACAGATAGTTTGTTACTGGCAACGGTGGGACCGCCGATTAAACCGCGAGCGGGGTTGAGGAGAAAACAGGCTGGAAGAGGCTCTTACAGAGGAAGCTAAGGGCTTTATTGCAAACAAAGATAGGTTGGGGGTGATTTTGATTGAAATTTTGTTGTTTTTAGGTGGAGTGGGGGACCTTTTTGAACAAAATAAAAAGTTGGTTTCTTTTATTGAGGAGAGATAGAGATGAGCAGTACAACTAGCAGTGAGTTGCACCAGATACTGAGAAGTCTCTGTCTCAATACTGAGTGGAAGTACGCCGTTTTTTGGAAGCTTAAGCATCGAGCTCGAATGTCAGTAAACTTCCTCTTTCTAAATTTTTTTCCATTTTAAGTTGATCACCATATTTCTTTAATTGATTAATTTGCAGTATGCTTGTTTTTAGCGTAGATTACAAAAAGGCTTATGAACATATTGTCATGTTCCTTGAGGTCAGCAAATTCGGAGTCTGTATGTATTTTCATCTAATTATTTGGATTTTGCTATCTAAGATGAATTAAGGTTTTGGTTAATTTTTGAATTCGCGGTATAGTTGACATGTTATTTAGGTTAGGTTGGAATGACTTGGACCCCTGTAATTGGCATAAGATATAATTCACATCTGTTTTTTTCTTCCTAATAGTAGTATTCAGTTGCAAGCCGCCAACTCTGCTATTTAGGGATCTTTTTTTTTTTTTTATCATAATTAGATTATCAAAAGGAGAAAATTAATAGTCACTTTGTTTTACCTTTAATTGTGTGGGATGGTATGCTAGCTCTTGGTGAAAATACATTGATGTGTTTTCTTGATTGTCATTCTTAGTATTGAACTAATTGCAGGGTGCTGACTTGGGAGGATGCGTACTATGACAATCATGACCAACATGATCCTTCAGAGAATAATTTTTTCGGAGATACATTAGAAAACTTGCACAATGGATATTATTCACATGACCCCCTTGGTTTAGCTGTGGCAAAGATGTCTTATCATGTGTATTCGCTAGGGGAAGGGTATGGCTCTATCCCCTGATAAATATGTTGTTCAGTGTTTGGTATGTTTTTGGCAATTTTATTGGAACAGTTAAAGAAAAATGATACCAGGATGCAATGGCTCAGATAGGGTCTTTTGTTACCCCTTCAATCCTCTTGCACCTTTTTTTCTTATCAGTTTACAAAACTCTGTTTTAATTTTAATTATGATTATGATAAGAATCAAATTACTGAATCGGAAAAGAAGTGGGTAATAGACAACTATATGTAGCTTATGCAACAATTCCAATAGTATTCGTCCCTTGTTTTGTAGGATTGTTGGACAGGTGGCAGTTTCTGGGAAGCATCAGTGGATATTTGCAGATAAGCATGTTAACAGCTCCAGCCCATTGTTTGAGGTGAGGAGCTTTACCAAGAAATGATAGCAAACATACCGTTTCAGAGTTGATTTGTTTGCAATACTCTCATACTCTGTGTTCTGTCTTAATTGGGTTTGAATTTCAGTTCTGTGATGGTTGGCAAAGCCAGTTTGCAGCAGGGATCAGGGTATGCATGCCTTTCCCCCTATCTGATGAATGTTTAGAGTGCAATGTGTTTTAGTTGTGAATTGTAATGATTTCCATGGGTCAACACATGGGAGTCAATAACTGATTATGTTTCCTGGTCAAAGTTCAAAACCTTTTTGGTAGAGCTTCCATTTTTAGCAAAGGCATTTTATTCCTCTTCACTTTTACAATTTTTTGGGCTAGTTTATTTGACCTTAGCATAAATTAAATAAAAGTTTTGTCCCTATTAATTTGTCTTCTGGGAATTTGGAAGTAAATGCATATCATATTGTTGTCTAGAACTGTCTTTTGCCTAAAGTTTATTTCCTTCCGTATATATATGGTTACTCTTTTAATAGAAGTATTTTTCATTGTAGACCATTGTTGTTGTTGCCGTTGTTCCACATGGAGTTGTGCAGCTTGGCTCCTTAAATAAAGTAAGATGAGTTCCAATTGTTTTGGTGCATTTCTACTTTGTGAATGCTTGTCAGTGTATTTACTTTCTTTGGGGGTTCTGGGATGGATATCTTTAACCTTCTAAGGTTTTTGTTTTATTCAAATATGTCTTGCTCACTTGAAAGATGTTTTCTACTTTTGAAGCAATTTTAATAAAGTAATTGGCTTATGAAAATTTAATTTTTTTTTGTGGCTTTGTCCTTGTAATTTTGATACATTTTCTGCAGCATTTCTATTACTGGTTGAATTCTTTTGCTTCACAGAATTCTCTAACTTTATATTTATGTTTATTTTTTATGGAATACACTGAAATTATGGGTAAGAAACACTCGTGCCTTAATTTGTAAAGGCTCTTTAACATGATAAAGAGTTATTAAAGTATGTCTTAATATGTCCAAATCCTAGCAATCTTTATTGTTTAGTTTCATTTATTTGGAGTGCTACATTTCATGCGCTTTAGGTATTTAGTTAGCCTCTAGTCGATTTTCCATTGATTATGTGTGAGAGCCCCAAATATGAAGCCTTTTCTGCATTTGACATTTAATATTATTGGTAATAGTCTGTTGCCTTTTTCTCTAGCATTTCGAGCTCATAGTCTAGACTGCATTATTATCTAAATTCTATTTATTTGAATGGAGCAGGTATTCGAGGATGTGAAGCTGGTGAGTCACATCAGAGATGTTTTTTTTACTCTTCAAGATTCTTCGCTAGGGCATATTGCCAGTCCAATAGAATATAGCATGAAGAGTTCATTATTTGAGGTATAATTCTCTTTCTCCCTCTTTCCACGTTTCTGCATGTGTATATGCATGCGACCTTGCACAAAATTACATGTCCATATGTTTATGGTATTAATATTTTTGGATCTTCATTTTGCAGCCAGATTTACATACGAAACTATTAGATTCAGAAGTTATTTCTTTAGTTAAAGCTGTAGACAAAGAAGGGCCAGATGTTTTGTTGCCTGAGTTTTCACATTGCCAAAAGTGCAGTGATGGTTCGTTTGTTCTTCCACTGTCCAGAATTCATCACAAAGTGGCGGTTGAGGTGGAAAATAAGAATGAAGGGCTTGAGCTATCCTCAGCAGGGAGTGATGAGAGTGCTAAATTCCTGACACCAAGATTAAATGTTTCAAACTTGGAGCGTCTAAATCAGTTGGGGAGGAATTTGATAAACAGTGGGGCATGCGAAGGGGAGACTAGTGGTTGGAAAAGTTCAAGTTTGGGACAAGAAAATGTCTACACAAACAATCCTGTTGTGGGTAGTATAAATTTATTTAATGTGGCACTTCAAGCTGAACAGTCTGCAGTTGATCATGCATGCTACTCAAACTTCCTTCACTCTGCACTTAGTGATATGGTTAAGTCGGGTGGTTTGAGTTCTTATCAAAATATGGTGTTGGACATACCTGAATCTTCAGGCATAAAATTTGAAAAGGACATGACGAAGTTGGGGAATCCGAGTGATTTAAGTGGCTTAGACTCAATAAACACTTCCTTAAAGTTTTCTGCTGGCTATGAGCTTTATGAAGCACTTGGACCAGCTTTTCTGAGAAAGAATATCTATGCTGATTGGCAAGCACAGAATACAGAAGCAGGAGCTAATATCGAAATGCTAGAGGGGATGAGCAGCAGCCAATTGACTTTCGAATCTGGTTCAGAGAATCTCCTAGAAGCTGTAGTGGCAAATGTTTGCCATAGTGGCAGTGATATCAAAAGTGAGAGATCTTTTTGCACATCAGCACCATCATTGGTGACAACTGGAAATACACCAGAGCCTTCAAGCCAAACAAAACTTACTTTTAATTCAGCTGGTTATTCAGTTAACCAGTCCTCTCTCGTGGAAGATAACACAAAGCAGTGCCTAAATTCGTCAGAGTTATGTGGTGCAATGTCTTTGAAAGGGATTTCTTCTACTTGCCCTAGCAATTGCAGTGAGCAGTTTGATAGGTCTTCTGAGCCAGCTAAGAACAGCAAAAAGAGGGCTAGACATGGTGAAAATCCCAGGCCTAGGCCAAGGGACAGGCAACTCATTCAAGATCGTATTAAGGAACTAAGGGAGCTTGTGCCTAATGGGGCAAAGGTAAATTTCTTGCTGTTCAGATGAGTGTTAGATTCTGATGATTTTCTTTTCCGCTCTTACAAATGTCAGTCTGCTAAAATTTCAAGAAAAATATGCAGTGCAGTATTGATTCATTGCTGGAGCGCACGATCAAGCATATGGTCTTTTTGCAAGGCATCACTAAGCATGCTGACAAGCTCAGTAAATGTGCTGGATCAAAGGTAAAGGCCCGGGCAGTTTACTGGTTAATGATCATTTTGGCTCAGTAAATTAGAAACTTAGAAGATCTCTATGATCTGTTTAAGTATTGGGGTACTTGAATTAAATGACCTCATTTGAGTTCTATTGGAATTTTTTTGAGGGGCTTGCACCTTTGGGTTTTGTAGACTTATATTATAGATTCTTGTCGTTTGTCATGAAATGGCAACATATTTACTGAACACTAGCTGAAATCTGGTGGTCACAATTTTTCAAGCTTCTCTCACTGCAAAACTACTTTGAACTTGTTGATATAAAATCAATTACATGTAGTGGAAACACTCAACATTGGGAAGAGCCTGCCACGTTTTCTGCTAATGGTTTACATCTTGCTGATTGTGCAGATGCATCACAAGGGAGTTGGCATTCATGGATCATCCAATTATGAGCAAGGTTCAAGCTGGGCAGTGGAAGTGGGAAGCCATCTAAAAGTTTGCTCAATAGTAGTGGAGAATATAAACAAAAATGGGCAGATGCTTGTAGAGGTGTGTACAGAGTCTGTGTAGGTTCATGAGAATTGTTCCTGTTGTTATCATTACAGTTATTGTGTGCAAAGTTTATGAATTCATTGGCAGCTTCACTGCTTAGTGTATGTTAGTTTAGGAAATTTTGTTCATTACTTCACTGGTTATAGACATATGTCACAAAACTACGAAGAATTAATTGAATAACAAAGAGTGATAATCTGAAAATATGACAGCATGATAGCTTTCATACAGTCAAAGAGAAGACTTTATATCCTAATAGCAAGGAGATGTTAATGAGACTTGACTTTATGCTCAATGTCTTCTTTTTTTTTTTTTTGTGTTTATTCTTGGTTTTAAAGTATTTTAGTTGATCCATGCAGATGTTGTGTGAGGAATGCAGTCATTTTCTTGAGATAGCGGAGGCCATTAGAAGCTTGGGCCTGACAATTTTAAAGGGGGTTACAGAAGCACATGGTGAGAAGACTTGGATATGTTTCGTGGTTGAGGTAGGATTTATTTTCCAAGATGAATTATCTGGCATATTAGGGCATACACATGAATTTAATTGCCTGTCTATAGGACCATATGGGCATCTCAATTTCCACCTTTAATAGTTTAGTATTTGCTAGCCACAATATCCAAGCATTTCTTGCAAATTTGAGTTTTCTAAGTTCCATTCCTACATAGTGGATGCTGAAGATTGATGTCTAAAACGCATGCACTGATGGAAGCTACTTGTGTAAACAAAAGGAATAGAAAACAAGGGGACATGTTCAACATCTTGTGTTGTGTCATTTTGTCTTTGAATTTGAGGCTATGATCTGTGTGTTTCATCAGTCTTGTGCCTACCCAAAACATAGTCATGAGATACTAGTGGAACATGTCAATGACTTCCTTTCGATATTTATGAAATTTGTACATTGAATCTATTATAAGTTATACCTCCTGAACTCCATGCATGTATGAACTGCATTTGTAAGTGGCAAACATTTCAGTTTTTTTTTTTTAATCCACTTTTAACTTTGTTTCCCATTTTATAAACTAATTTCCAATTATGAACACATACAGGGACAGAATAACAGAATTATGCATAGAATGGATATCTTATGGTCGCTTGTGCAAATTTTGCAATCCAAGGCTACAACCTAGCTGCAATGGCTTGTCACCTCTTGGAGGCAGTAAAATTAGCTCCTAATGTTAAATATTGTGAGTGGTTTGTGATTTTTTATTGGCTCTATGCTTTTTGCTTCGTCTCTGTCTCCCAATCCCCTAAAAATATTTAAAGTAGGGGAAAAGGAGAGAGAGTTTACTTAAGAAACATTTTGTGAAGAGTTTTTTGCTTCTGTTCTTCATAGTTTGTGGAAATGCCATCAATTATTTTCTTTTCTCCTTTACCCAATTTACATAAGACATCATCAGTTATTTGTAAGTTGTGATGATATTCCAATCTGGGTGCCTTAGCTGGATATTTCCAGCTGTTATAGCTTTAAACTATGGTTCTCTACTTATGAACATGTAGATTCAACATTCACCATTAAAGGAACCATTGCAAGTAAGAAAGAGAAAATTGGATATCATAGTAAATTACAGACTACTTTATATTAGTGCTTCTCAAAATGATGATCATGTAGTATTATTGCATCATAAGGTTATTGCAATTTAAAATGAGGAAGGCTTGAGTTTCCATCCAGGCCTTTGGCCCTGAAATAGGCCATATATTCAGTAACATGAGTTTCCCGGTATATAGGTGGATTACTTTCTGTTAGGAGCTCTTTTATTGGTGCATATGGTTTAAGTTTATTAGCTGTACTTGGATAGAAAAAACACGCCACCGATACCCTTGGTACTTGTCCTGCCAGCACCCTATGCTCCACGCTTCTGAATTTGTCATTTGTGATGAGCTAATAAAGGAGAAGAGAAACCTCGTTTGTCATTAAAGACCAGGGAAAAATGGTGCTTGAATTTATAAAACATTTTTTTTCATCCGTTAGGCACAAGAATCATAATATAGTGATAATTATAAGACCATACCTGAATGAAGTCACCAATGTTAATCACAAAAGCGCCTGGAAGAGAAGGAACATCAACCCAGTTACTTTGATGAAGAACTTGGAGGCCTCTGATATTGTTTTGAAGGAGAATGGTCAGGAAAGATGGGTCTGAATGCTTGGTTGCTCCCAGCGTTAAGTCTGGCTCGGGGCAAGCAGGGTAGTAGTGGCATACCAGGGACTCAGTTTCCATGCATCCTATGCTGGCAAGGTAGTCACTGTGAAGCCCCAAAGCCTCTGATAGAAGTTCAGATAGTGTCTTTCTTAGCTTGATCATGTGTTTTATGTATTCACTTACAGCTTCCCTGCGAAAGTTTTTCAAGAATTTTCTGAGTATGCATCTGTTGTTGCATGCTTGGTGCTTAAATTGCATTTCATATATTACCTGCATATTGGAGGAAAATTGTGGGGGTCTAGTTGGCCATCATGGAAATCAAATGCTATTGAATCCCTCCAGTTTGCAGCTCCTTTGTTTACAAGGAGATTTCCATTGCAGAAATACCTAACAGGCTGCTTATAATCCCGCGAGTACCATTCCATCTTCACATCCTTTGGTTGTTCATGGAATCGGCGCACACCTTCTAGCATTCCATCCATAATGCAAAGAGAAACGCCATGGTTAACAACTTGAAAGAAACCCCATGTTTCTGAAGCTTCCAAGATTCCAGTCAATATCTCCTTCCGTCGGCTACCTTCAAAGCCTTCCAGATCTATCACTGGAACTTGGAAACAAACTGTACTAGTACTGCTAGCATTAAGGTTTTTCAGGCTTTCCAGGGGATGGATGAAGAACTTGGGAATCTTGACAGCACCAGAGTCAACAAGTCCTTTAACCCCTGCTTTAGTTTCATCAAAGTCCTTCAGTTCCTTTGCTCTATCATAACTTGAACCCTCTTCGGAAGCCACTTCCATGTCAACAAATGATACCTGGAAATTACTGAAGGAGAATGGAAGGGGGTCTAATTTTAGCTGTTAGTTGTGACCATCTAAGCAGAACAGGGGAAAAAGATGGTAAAGATGCTTAGACCGAATGAAAAGAATGGCGTTTCAAAAGGAGCACTAAGCAATGACCATTCATGCATGAGAAGTTTACAATCTCAAAGATGCTTGGCTGAATGAATGAATGATTGAAAGAAAATGGTCAGAACAAATGCCTTTGAGCTTATATGGTAAGTGGTGAGTAGTATTATTATAAAAATATTGAAAGGAGATGAGCAGTGGAAAAAGGCCAAACGTAGCGAGATACCCGCATAAGGCGATTCCTTGAAAATCACAATCTTGATACGTTACAAAACACTTACTTCATGGACAATATTAAACAACATGTTTTTCCTTAGATTTGTCTGGGCCTTTTCCCAAAAACAGAAACACTTCCCCTTCACAAGTGTAGCCTTATAAATTCTGCAGGAAAAAAAAATTGGGATTTTTATCAGAGGGAAATATTCTTCAAAATCCAGCTAGGCATAATTGTTGGCCCTGCTTGTACAAACAAAAATTTTTTTTTGGTTTACAAATATTTCATATATGCCTAAGCAAATGAACATCTCACAGAAAAAATATATAAAGAATAAAAAAGAGGGAGAATAGAATAGCCCAGGCTTGAGTTACTGTTGAGAATTAATATAAAAATTTTGATTAAATGCATGATATGATGGTATTGAAGATGCTATATAAACTTTAAATTTATGGTGGACTGAGTTCAGTAATCAGTACCAATTCCAAACGAAAATTATAGGCCAAATGAGTTTACATTTTTTGCCAACTTGAATTTAGCTGTATGTGCTTGGATGTGGGAATAAATATTGTGAGTAGTACAACCCCCTTGCATAAAAATATTAAGTCATAACAGTGAGTTTTTGTATTGTTTTTAGTTTTCTAGCATTGAAACTATTTATTTCATTTTCTTTCAGGTATTTTCATTCCATTTTCATTTTTAATTGTTCATGTTCATCCATATGTTTCACCGACCATAATTAGTTTACAAGTTCATGTATCATATTTTTATACATATTGAAATTAGGAACATGTAAATGGAAAGATACTGTGTTAAAGCACCAATAAAATGCTTGAAATGGCTGTAACACCAACTACAGGGCACCCATCCGGATAAATCAAGCCAACAAAACAACATAGACGACAAAGTACTTTATAAAAAAAATAAAATACAAGACCAGGATCAAGACATAGTTCACATCAATATGACAACAAAAGATCTTGTAATAAACTATATCTTTGGATTAAAACTGAGAAGTTATAAAGATGAAAGCGCTTAGGCTTTTAATCTCTCAGCTAATCCAAGCGATCTAGTAGCTGATCATCAATAACAAATTCAAAAGTTTGGAGCATAGAGTGCTGGCGATCGACGGTTGCAGTTTTTTTCCTTTATCCAAGTTCTGCCAATAGTTTGAAGCCATATGGGTCGATAAAGGAACTTTTATCTGAAGAAAACCCATCTATATACAGGGAAATTCAAATTACTGGTCCTGAATATGTAACCTATTATCAATCAAAAGAACCTGATGGCGGTTCTGCCCTGCCTCATTTCAAGCTTGCATCGTAATTTATGGTCTTTTGTTTAATTTTCTAGAAACAATTTTTTCCCTGAGTTTATCTTAATCTCATATTTATAGCAATAAAATGGACCAAAATGTCTATGGTCTTAATCAATTTCAGGCTGATAAAGCTTGAAAACTATGTCTATCTGTTCTTATGTAACCAAGTATTGTCAGTTGCTTGTGATAGAAGTAACAAAAATTTTAACAGAATTGTCATGCCACTGCTAGATTACTTTTCTCAAATCCTAGTCCCAATATATGCACATTTCATAAAAAATTACTACCAGTATTAGTTGTTTGGTTCATAATGATTTTACCTTCCCACACTCAAATTTTTTAATTGTAAACCTCATGCTTAATAAATTGGATTTCTTTATTTTTCTGTCACAAAAATCGAATTAATACTAATTTATTATCCAATTTGATAAGAATTAAATTCAAAGTATACTCTTATATTCTTCTAATTGACTTTTCAATAAATAGAATCAAATTTGTTACATTATTTTTTATATAGAATTAATATATTTTTTTATTTGAATTTATCAAAATTTAAATATCGATCATTGAAAAAAATTTAATATTCTACTAATAGTTCGCATCAATTAGCGAATTTGTACTGTTTATTTATTTATTTATTTTTATCTAATGAAAAAAATCAGATAATACACACCCTAGAACCAACTTGCTGAAAAAAGAAGTAGAAGGGAGGATATATTGCCCCACACCCACGGCTAGTCAAGGATTTGACAGCAGGCCAATGTGCCTCATGACCATAACTAAACTTAACCGTTTATCCTTGCTGCCAAGACCTCTAGGACAACCTCAGACATTAACTCAAAACATCCAAGCAATAGTTGATCAAATAAAAAAATGTTCCAAGTTAAACCAACTAGAAAGAATATATGCCACCGTGATCAAAACAAATGCAAACCAAGACTGTTTCTTGACGAACCAATTCGTCAGTGCATGCACCATTTTTTGCCGCATGGATTATGCAATTCTAGCCTTTTCCCAAATGCAAAAACCCAATGTTTTTGTCTATAATGCATTAATTAAAGGCCATGTTCATTGCCATCACCCTTTCCAAGCTTTAGATTATTACAAACATATGCTGAGAGCTGGAGTTTGGCCCACAAGCTTCACGTTTTCTTCATTAGTTAAGTCTTGTGGTTTGGTTTCTGAATTTGGGTTCGGAGAAAGTGTTCATTGCCATGTTTGGAAAAATGGGTTTGAGTCACATGTCTTTGTTCAAACTGCTTTAGTTGATTTTTATGCAAATGTTGGAAAAATCGTTGAATCGAAAAGGGTGTTTGATGAAATGCCTGAAAGAGATGTTTTTGCCTGGACAACTATGGTTTCGGGTTTCTTGAAGGCTGGGGATTTGGGTTCTTCGAGGAGATTATTTGATGAGATGCCTGAAAGGAATACTGCCACGTGGAATGCTATGATTGATGGGTATGCAAGAGTAGGGGATGTGGAGTCAGCTGAGTTATTTTTTAATCAAATGCCTGTAAAGGACGTAATTTCTTGGACTACAATGATCAACTGTTATTCTCAGAACAAGCTATTCGGAGAAGCATTAGCTGTTTTTGAGGAAATGAGAAGAAATAAGGTTAGTCCAGATGAAGTGACCATGGCAAGTTGTATTTCAGCTTGTGCTCATCTTGGAGCACTTGATACAGGAAAACAAATACATCATTATGTAATGGAAAATGGATTTAATCTTGATGTCTATATAGGGTCTGCATTAATTGATATGTATGCAAAATGTGGGAGTTTAGAGAAGTCGCTTTTGGTGTTCTTTAAATTAAGAGAGAAAAATCTGTTTTGTTGGAATTCGGTAATTGAAGGGCTTGCAGTTCATGGTCATGCAATAGAAGCACTGGCAATGTTTGACAGGATGGAGAGGCGGCATGTCAAACCAAATGGGGTTACTTTTGTTAGTATTCTTAGTGCCTGCACTCATGCAGGACTTGTTGAAGAAGGCCGTCAGAGGTTTTTAAGCATGACTCGTGATTATTCAATCCCCCCTGGAGTTGAACACTATGGATGTATGGTTGATCTATTGAGCAAAGCTGGGTTGCTTGAAGATGCACTATTCTTGATAAGGAGCATGAAGTTGGAACCAAATTCTGTTATTTGGGGTTCATTGTTAGGTGGGTGTAAGCTTCATAAGAATTTGGAGATTGCTCAGGTTGCTGTGGATGAACTGATGGTTTTAGAGCCATACAGTAGTGGCTATTACACCCTTTTGGTTAACATGTATGCTGAAGTTAATCGATGGGGCCAGGTTGCAAACGTCAGGCATATGATAAGAGAATTAGGCGTAGAAAAGAGGTGTCCTGGGTCCAGTTGGATTGAAATGGAGAACAAAATTCATCAGTTTGCTGCATCTGATAAGTCCCACCTGGCTTCAGATGAGATATACTTGATTCTGGCTGAATTAAATGTGCAGCTGAAACTAGCTGGCTATGTACCTGAACTTGGTTCTATACTATAGAAGTTTAGAATTCTTGAGAGGAAATGACATGTAAAACCAACTGCAGCTTGTGAAAGTTCATGTGCCATGTGCATCTAGCTCCAACGTCAGTAAACTTCCTCTTTCTAACTTTTTTTCTTTTTAAGTTATCATCATATTTGTTTAATTGATTAATTTGCAGGATGCTTGTTTTTAGCGTAGATTAAAAAAAAAACCTTAATGAACATATTGACACATTCGTTGAGGCCAGCTAATTCGGAATCTTGGTGCCTCTCCATCTAATTATTTGGAGTTCATTATCTAAGATTATATAAACTTTTGGTTTACTTTTGGATTAGCGGTATAGTTTACTTGTTCTTAAGGTAGTTTGGAATGGCTTTGACTACTGGAATTGGCATAGGCTATAATCCACACTTTTTTTTTCCCATTTATTAGTAGCATTTGATTGCAAGCTACCAAATTTGCAGATGTTCCTGGAATTAACATGCTTTTTGGTGTTCTTTAATTGTCATTTCTTTTATAATTAAAAAAAAAAAAGGGGCCAATGCCAGTTGTTTAATTGGGATAACTTTTTATGGTGTTAGTTTTTTTTTTTTTTAATATCATACTGACATTATTGGAAGAGTAAATTAGTATTCACTTTGTTTTACCTTTAATTGTGTGGAATGGTACGCTGGCCCTTGGTGAAAACACATTGATGTGTTTTCCCGAGTGCCATCCTTGGTTATAGAGTGATAATCTGAAAATATGACACATGGTAGCTTTCATACAGTCAAAGATGAGACCTTATATCCAAATAAAAAATAATAATAATAGAAAAAGAAGATTAGACTTTTCTTTCACTCATTGTTTTTTTATTCCTAGTTTTAAAAGTATTTTAGTTGATCCATGCAGATGTTGTTTGAGGAATGTAGTCATTTTCTTGAGATATTGGAGGCCATCAGAAGCTTGGGCCTGACAATTTTGAAAGGGGTTACAGAAGCACATGGTGAGAAGACTTGATATGTTTTGTGGTTGAGGTAGGATTTATTTTCCAGGATGAATTATGTGGCATATTAGGGCATACACATGAATTTAATTGCCAGTCTATTGGACCACTTGGGCATCTCATTTTCCACCTTTAATAGTGCACTATTTGCGAGCCACAATATCCAAGCATTCCTTTCAAATTTGTAAGTTTTCAAAGTTCATCTCCTACATATTGAATGCTGAAGATTGATGTCTAAGTTGCTTGCACTGATGGAAGCAATTTGTGTCAATGAAAAGAATAGAAAACAAGAGTACATGTTCTTGTGTTGTGTCTTTTTGTCCTTGCATTTGAGGCTGTGATCTATGCATTCCATCAATTATGTGTGCCTGCTCAAAACGTACTCATGGATGCTAATGGAACATGTCAATGACTTCCTTTAGATATTTATGAAATTTATACATTGAATCTATTATAAGCTATAACTCCTAAACCCCTTGCATGTATGAACTGCCAAACAATTCATTTTTTTTAATCCTCTTTTAACTTTGTTTCCCATTTATAAACTAATTTCCAATTATGAACACATTGCAGGGACAGAAGAACAGAGTTAGGCATAGAATGGATATCTATGGTTACTTGTGCAAATTTTGCAATCCAGGGCTACAAGCTAGCTACAATGGCTTGTTACCTCTTGCAGGCAGTAACAGTGGCTCCTACTGTGAAATAATGCGAGTGATTTGTGATATTTTATTGGCTCTATGGTTTTTGTCTCTTGTCTTTGTCTCCTGATGCCCTAAAAAATATTTGAAGTAGGGGAAAAATAGAGAAAGTATAGTTAAGAAACATTTTGTGACGAGTTTTTTTGCTTCTGTTCTTCATAGTTTGTGGAAATGCCATCAGTCATTTTCTTTTCTCCTTACCAATTTACATTAGACATCTTCAGTTATTTGCAAGTTTTGATAATATTACAATCTGGGGTGCCTTAGCTAGATATTTTCCAACTGTTACTGCTTTAAACTTTGGTTCTCTACTTATGAACATGTAGATTCAACATTCACCGTTAAAGGAGCCATTGCAAATGAGGAGAAAATTGGATATCATAGAACGTTATTAGCTAAATTACAGACTACTTTATATTAGTGCTTCTCAAAATGATGATCATGTATGTAGTCAAACTCTTGCCTTAGCTTATTCATTTTTTTTTAACTCATAAGTCAACGTGCTTCAAGCAGCATTGAACTTTCCAAAATTTTGTAAAATATCATGAAAGCCAAAACTGATGTGTTGCTCAACTGTAATTCTTCCCTTACTTTTATGCACAGCTTTATTTGTATACATAATGTAAAACTTTTTCGATTTTACAATATTTTTTAACTCTTGATTTTAATAAATTTAAAAAATTAAGAAAGATAAATAAAAATAAAAAATATTTAAGTTTATCCTTTCATTTATTAAAATTAACAATTAAGAAAAAAAATATTGTAATGCTCCCATTTAAGCAAGAGGACAATAAACATGAGTAGCTAAGACCGGCTGAGATTATCAAACCCCCCATGCCCTGGCTACTTCTATAATTCTCTGGTGGCCAGTAGGGGTCTTATTAATCAATCTGTCAAATCAAATGGAAAACATCCCTGAAGTCTACAGCCACTTGGATGAATATGACTATGCAAAACAATTGAAGGAATTCCTTGAGACGAAAGCTGGAGTGAAGGGGGTTGCAGACTCTGGAGCAATCAATATTCCTAGAATCTTCATCCATCCACCGGAGAATCGACCCAAATCAACATCGTATGGCACTGATACTTGTCCTCGAGTCCCTATTATCGATTTTGAAGGGTTAGAAAATGGGAAGCGAATGGAGATTGTCAATGAGATACGTGAAGCAGCAACAACATGGGGCTTCTTCCAAATGGTCAACCATGGAGTTCCACTTGCCACAATGGATAAATTGTTGGAGAGAGTGCGTCAGTTTCATGAGCAACCCCAAGAGGTGAAAGAGGAATGGTACTCGGATGATGAAACAAGAAAGATCAGGCTCTATAGCAATGGATATTTCACTGCATCGAGGGCGGCATATTGGAAGGACACTTTAATCTTTCTTGCTGCCCAACAACTTGAAAAAGAACAAGTTCCTCAAGTTTGCAGGTAACTAAAAGATTCTAGAATTGATAGTGAAAAGCTTATCTGCTAGCCTTGTAGTAATTGATTTCATGGATAATTTTTTTTTTTATGCAGAGATGCTGTTATTGAGTACACAAAATGTCTGATGCGATTCAAGGAGACAGTGTCTGAATTACTCTCAGAGGCTTTAGGGCTGAGTGGTGATTGCCTAGCCAAAACTGAGTGCATGAACTCTGTTACACTGGCGTGCCATTATTACCCGGCTTGTCCTCAGCCTGAGTTGACTTGGGGGATATCGAGCCACACGGACCAAGATTTCATAACGTTACTCTTGCAAGATGACGTTGGTGGCCTCCAAGTTCTTCACCAAGATAAGTGGGTGGATGTACCCACTATCCATGGAGCCCTTATTTTAAACTTTGGTGACTTGATGCAGGTATTCCCTTCAAATGTGCTTTCACTGTTTCACATGAAAACATATGAACAAAAGAAAACAAATCAATATATTGCTCATATCCTTTAGATTTCTTTAATTTTTTTGGATGACCGTTCCATAGTGATTCATTTTTCCACATGAAATCATGTGAGGGGAAGAAAAAGATACCAAAAGTTATCACTTCTTGGAGTTTGATATAAAGAATATTTCTGGGATTCGCAGGCTTATTCAGGTAATCCATTTATCTGTATGCTCTCTTTTGCAGCTGATAACAAATGACAAGTTCAAGAGTGCCCAGCACAGGGTGCGGGTGGTGCCAACGAATACCAGGGTATCAATTGCATCTTTCTTCTTTCCAACTTTTGCTAACCAAGGAAAACCATTCGGACCAATTAAAGAGCTTCTGTCTGAGAAAGATCCACCCATTTACAGAGAAACTAGTCTTCAAGAATATATAACTTATATGAAGTCAAAAGGGCCAAATCCATCTGCATCCCTTCCTCATTTCAAGGTCTCGTCTTAACTGTGTTCTAGTTCTTAAAATTTCAGGGGGAGTGAACCAGTAGTTTCTAATTTTATCTTTGTTTGTTCCTGCAGTGATTGCAAATAAGATTTTAATAAAACAAGAGCCTTCCAGCTTATTAATGATTAGAAACCATCTCTGGTTCATAATAATTTTATTCAAGTTAAAAGTGTTGTGGCTGTGGTATGTTTTTTTAAAATTTACAATATGGTAGTACTAGATTTTAAATCATGGAATCAGAATTTGCAAAAGCTTTACCCTGTCTGTTACTTTAAGTTAAGGAGTCATAAGAAAAGAACAGAGGGGGATAAGTCAAACTTCTCCTAACAACAGAAGGTATAATTTAGAAAAAGCAGGAATATTACGTGAATATAATTAACAAATATGGAATCCTTTAAGAGCAAACATGCATCATCAAGAACATGTTCATTCCAATTTAAAAAGCAACTTAGACAAGTAGCGATTACATAGTTTAATCACATTGCAGTTGAAGATGCAGTAAGTAATTGACGAAATGAAAGGCCAGATTAATGAAGTATTTTAGGTAATGACAAAAATTGGAACACCATGAAAGAAACCCATCAAACTAAAACAAAAAAGAAATATGAAATCTTCACCAGTTAACCTTAAAGAAAAAAAAAAAAACCATTTTTCTTTTAAGAGAATGATCAGGTAGAGCTAATACTAAGATGCCATCATCATGGCAATCAAACCAATAGGGAAACAATATCACAATCATCACTTCATTCTCCGTACACCCAAAACTATTTTCAAAAATGTAAATCAATGAAAATGAGAAACAAAGTAGAAAATGTTTTAAAAGGAAGTTCTTTTTCAGGATTCAAAAACAAGCAGAACAATCTTGAAACATAGGTAATAACATAGCAAAGTTTAAAAAGTAATAAAAAACAATAGCAAATACTATCAATTTGCAAAGGTAAAGAGAATGATCAGATAGAGCTAATACATTATAGTTGCCATCATTACGGCAATCAAACCAATAGGGAAACATTCAGTTCATCATCTCATTCTCCATCCACCTTTTAAAAAAACCAAACACCAGAACCATTAACAGTGTTAAACCAGAGAACAATTGCCAAAGCTAACAAAACATAAAGCACAAGCAAACAAGATAACCAAAGTAGAACTAAGTACTACTATGTCGAAACGGCTTGTCTGATCTTCCTCAGGTATTTGGGCATAAAACTCTAACAACACAGAGTAATATATAGGCGGCGAGTTAAAACTTGAAACCCTAATACTATCAGAAAAGTCTGTTGGACTTGGTCGAACGCCCAAATGCATTCTTTGACGTTTATTGATATGGCCCAAACTCCCTAGTTTGATCAACATAGTGAATGACCGTAATACCCTCAACTTTGAAAATATTTCTTTTCCCTACAACATTACCCTTCACCATGCAGCGTTCGCCGCCACGGAGTGTGGCCAAGCGCCAGCTGTCAAGCTCGTTCAGAACCACCGTTCTATATTTGTAAGTATCTTGCTTCGGCTCCTCTTTTAAACCATCTCTATCGATTTCTAACAACTTAAATTTTTATTCTTTGTCATTTTTACTGCAATTTTTGTCTGGGTTTTCTTTTAAAAGCGAAACAGTTAGTAAAAATCTCAACTTTTGTGCAGTTTTGATCGGAACAGAGTAAAAACACTAGAAGCTTTACAAGGAAAAATTCTCTCATCCTTTCTTTTTTCTTTTAATATTTGGGTTTCGTGATTTTGTGGCTCGGGTGCTGACTATACCAATATTTTGATTGAAAGACAGAAACTTTATGGTAGATTTGTGAATGTGATTCTTAACCGGTGTCAATCACAATATTCAAAAGCAGAGGGAATAATATAACTAGATAAAGAGAAAGAGGCAAAAAAATGTGGCTCAAGTTTCTTTGAAGCTTGAAGTTGATAAAAAGGCTGGTTATAATACCAGATTATTACTCAAATATAGTTCTGGTGATGAAGATTATGTTGGTGATACCAAGAGGAAATTAGAGTTTGCTTGGCTCACAAAGGCTCTTGAACCAGCTCTGCAATTGTGTAGGTGGGCAATAGGGCTGTTTTATGTCAATTGTTTTCCATAATCTTGTTAGCTAAATTGATTACCACGTTATCATTGTCATGGTTTTAAAACTCGAGATCAAGAATATGAGCTTATGTTAGCTAGTTTCGAAGTTTCATTGTATTTTGAATAGCGATTAGTCACACTAGTTTTTTTTTTTTTTGCTAATTTTGGCTTTGTGGTTATAAGGGTCGATTTAATTTAATTTGAATATTGCAGGAAATGAAGTAGGGGATAAATCCCCGCCTGTTGATCGATCAATCTCAGAAATCATACCTAGCGTTCAGAGAAGTAAGACTGGAATTGAAGGTTGGAGCTTGAGTGGTCTTACTATAGGCCTATATCTTATTTACCTTCATCAGGCTTCTTTGGATCCATTTGAGGATGTTAAGGGTGTGAACATCGTATCAGATTCAATTGTAATTGTTGAACCCTTGTATGAAGTGCCTCTGCAAAAAGTTTTTAATTTTTTTTTTTTTTGGATAGGTATGACATAGGGTCTTATTAAGATGCTTTTATGAAGTAGGTCCGAGGACTGATATAGCATATTGAATTAGCGAAAGGATGTTATAAGGATAATGTTGCCATCCTTGCAAGGATCACCATGCTTAGAGAAAGCAATGTTTTAAAATCTGTAAAGAACTCTAGCGTGATGAGTCCTGGATATTCTATAGGAATTGATCCTCTAAAAAAACTTGTAATATTTGGAATCCTTGGAACTCATACTGTCAATGACCTTATTACTGGTACTGTTTCATCAGTCAATGGAGAGGTCACATTTGAAGGCTATTCAACACACTTTGGCACGGCTGAAGCTGCCCGTTGGTTTCTTCACCATGAAGTAGGAATGATAAGGAAGTGCTTGGTGAAAAATGAGATGGTTAAATTTTATGATGTCTCTTCTGGGATGTTTCAATTCTGTTTTAGGCTTCTCTGAACAACTCCCGCCCTGCCCCTTGGTTGTGCATCGCTTCTCTTCCCCTTCCGCGAATTTTAAACCCAAAATTTTATTTTCATAGTTGTAGCAAGCCTAATTCATTTACTGGGGTTTACGTTGAGGCTGGTGGGGCATTCTCCTGGAGCTGCAACAGCTTCTTTAATTGCAATAATGCTTCATAAAAAGTCGAAAAAGGAGGTGGGATTTAGCCCTGACATTGTCTCTGCTGTTGGATATGCGACTCTTCGTGTTTCCAAATAACTTGCTGAAAGTTGCTCTGATTTTGTTACAACCATTGTATTGCAGATAAGCCTGATTCATCTACTTGTGCACTGAACAAGCTTATTTTTGGAATATTTCCTTCTATTAAATTGGTGTTTCGTAATTTAGTAGTTTTCCTTGTACATCTTTTGCCTTCTAGTTCTTAATGCTTTTTGTTTTTCCTTGCATACAGGATGACATTGTACCTAGACTAAGTATAGCATCTCTAGCAAGGCTGAGGAATGAAATGCTTCAAACAGACTGGTAAACACACAAACATTATCTAATTAACATATATATAAATTTTCCTTCTGAAGTTTCATTTATGAGATTTGAAACAAAAGAAGCATGTGAAAAAGATACTTAGATGGAGGACAAAAGCATCTTGAGTAGCAGAAATGCTACAAACCCAATTAGCATTGATGTCAAGGAAAAATTTTCACAACAAAAGTGCTTGTATTTGCATATTGTCTTTAGCTCAAATTGTTGGAATTAGCAAACTCTTAAAGTTTTTTATTTATGATTTGAAGGTTTTTCTCTTTATTGTTTTGTAATTTTGATGATGTTGAGGAACAAAATAATTTGCCATGAATTGTTTTCAGACCTAATTTACTTTTAGTTCTTCTCCTTGTATAAACCCTTGATAACCAGCCTAATCCTGATTCTTTAAAAATATGTAAGTACTATCTTGCTTTTAATTTAAATAATCCACCAATTCAAAATGTCATAATGATAAATTTTTAATTGATACGGCCAAATTTTTTTGTTCCCTCCGTGTGGCTAATTCTTCTGAATTTATATCAATGCCTGAAACATTGTCCACTTACTTTGTTAGGTGAAGGTAATCTGGTTAAGAAAATGGAAACCTATTATCTTGCTGTTAATGGCTTTATAAAATCCATTTTGAGTGATTTAAATGATGTCAAGGGAAGCAAAATTTATCGTTCTTGTTTGTAGATTTGGTGTAGAAAATAAAATATATCTGTAGTGATAGAGAGCAATAAAAGATCACATACCAAGCTGAAAGGGGCCGTGGCTCATGGATTCTAAGATCAGGAAATAGAATGAATAATATCATTGTTATTCCTACCTAATAATTTTCAAACTTAGACCTTAAAAAGTTCAAATGAAAAAAAAATTCCAATATTCTCAATTGTCTACATTAAGAACTCTTAACAAGTATGCTACAGTATTGTGAACAGTGTTGCACTTTGGTACTCTACAGTAGTGTGAAAAGTAACCGACCTTTGGGAAAAAAAGAAGAAACACAAAAAAGAAAGGGAGAAAAAAGGATATGCTCCTGCATCAAGGAAAGGAGCATAGGACTTTTACATGTAAAAGAAATTCTTGAATTTTATCCTTTTCAATATTCTCAACCCAAACACTGATAACATTAGTGTTTGGACCGTAGAGTTTCCTATGCCAGCAAGGCCAGGGAACTTTCATGTTCTCAAAGCACTTATACCCATGGGGTAGGGCTAGATTATGGGGTGAACTAATCCTGTTTGTTCTTTTAGTGTGTTTTCAGTTCAAGAAATTGTTGATTTCTTGTGTGCATCAATGAAACACTGTAGCTATAGGAGATGGGTACAATAACCTGCATCAAGCAACTTATTTTTCTTATATATTTAATTTAATTACATATCTTGTGTAGAAGTGGCTATTCTTTGTCACGTAAAGATATTCTGGTTTTCAAGCTGGCATCTACATGCAGACTTAAATTTAGTCACAATAAGAATTTAATTGCATTCCTGTCTTAACAGGATGAGCAGGGTGGAGAAGGCGGACTGGAAAAGTGTAGTAGAAATTGGTCACAAATGCAAAACTGGTTGTCTTCTGGACCAGATGTAGTGATGAAACTTGTTGATTATGCATAGTTCAGTAGCAAAAAAGAATCTTCTGGTAAGTTCTGCACCTATTATCCAGTTGTAGCACCAATTATAAATCGGATATCTCGTTACTTGGAAACCTTCCTTCTTTGGCGACTATTGTCTATCTGATTATGCTTTTCTAACCTGCTATATATGTCTTTGATATCTGTATGTGATGAACTTGTATTCTTTTGCCAATATTTCTGTACTCAATAGCTTCTGGTAACCTGTGTAGTCGCCTTGGAGAAGGGATACATAAAAACTAGCTCTAATGGGTTTTTAAGAACAAGTTTTTGGTTTTACTTGGCAGGAAGGATGTGAAAATTTGTTAATTAATAGTTAAACTACAAAGTAAAAATGCGACTATAAATTTTAACTATTAGATTAACAAGTTTTCCATCTTTCTTACCAAACAAAACCTTAGTGTTGGGTCATGTACATTAGTGAAGCTCTGCTGCTTTTAGAATTTGCATTAAACAGTATCTTATGACATATTATGTAACGTTTAGGCTAAGGAGTGTTGGGATCAAATTTGCATCATTTGCTTCTATTATTCATTTACACCTGTACTTGCTCTACAAATGCTGTTTCAATCTATGTGAACAGATAGTGCCTCAAAAAGGGAATCAACTTCGGTCCCTTCAGCCTATATTAGAAACAGAGAATGTTGCTGTACTTCAAAAAGAAGAAGGTGCCTATACAGTGCCAGAGGTAGTATTTGTTCCCGGGACTGTTTACTGCTTGAAGAGGAACGTAGATAATCATGCTGAAAGCAGCGATGACAGGGGTAGGGAATATTTCGGTCTTGGGAGGAGACATCCAGGTGAACATTTCCAGAGGATAATGCTCTCAAGCAACTTAATATCAGATCACAGATGCGATAGCCACTATTATGCTTTACGAGATGTACTAAAAGGTTTGCCTATGTCCCGTGATGAAGGCATTTCAGATAGGACCGTCCAAAAATTTGAACATCTTTTACATTCTGTAAATTGTCAAAGAAATGTATCTTTGGATGCAGAT